GAACTGTGGGAGCCTGGCATTTGGGAGGCACCAGAGAAGTTTCAAGTTCACTCTCTCTGACAGCATCTCCACCCTGGCCCCTCTTTGATTAGGGATGTAGAAACATCTTTATTTTTATAAGGTAGCAATCTCTAAACATTTTTTAAATTTAATTTTATATTTTTTGTGTGCTTTTGCTAAGAAATCACAATCTAGCTGTTGTATTTTGGATACTAAACATCTTTAGGTGAGGAAAAGAATCGGTTTTCAGGGTGGTGTTTTTTGGAAGTATTGTGGGCTTTTAAGAGGTGGGGCCCAGTAGGAGGTCCTTAGGCCATTGGGTACATATCCTGAAAAGGGACTATGGGTTCACAATCTCTTCCCCTTTCTCTCTTTGCTGCTTAGCTCATGAAATGATTGTCCTTCTCCCCATTCCCTCACCATGCTGTGTTGTCACAAAAAACAAAAAAAAAACAAAAAAACCCAGGCCCTAGATTATGGACTAGAACCTCCAAACCATAAGTCAAAATAACCCTCTGTACGTTTATTATCACGGGGACCTCATTACAGGGACAGAACCCAGTCTCCCATAGTGTCCAGCTGTGCTGACATAGTACTGGCCTTCTCCAAATACAAGATTCAAACATTCCTGAGGCCTATGTGGCGGAGTGACCAGTGTACCCCAAAATAACCAGAAGACAGGAAGGTTCCTACCATGGAGATCTGTTCGTCACCCTGGTACCTTGTGCCACCTTACCACGCTGCACCTGATCAACGGGCAGTTACTATTTGCCAACTTTAAAGCAAAGAATGAGATTCTCATGCAAAAGGATGAGCTAAAATGCTCAGGTTTTAAAGAATTCCTTCCTTCCCCCATGGTTTGTTTGGCATACCCTCTTGGAAGTAGGTATCACTTCAAATTAGAATTCCTGTTGCCTGCAACCAGATGACTCTTGACAAAGAGGGTAGAGATGTTTGTTTCCCCAACACTTGTCTGAGGTACGTTAGGGTGGTAAGTATATGGAGCTGATGCGTTACTGCGCTCACAGATTACTGTACAGTGCACAGCACACAGTAGGTACTCAATAAGTTCACACTGAAATGATGATTGCTTTGTGCTCTGCAATTGCCAGGAGACCTTGGGAAAACTACTTTGATCTTCTCTGTCCTCCGCAGCTATTTCTGTAAGACCTTATCCCCAAGGAACTCTCGTGGGCTAAGGGAAAGGTAGGAGCTGGCCTCACCTCCTGGTCCTGGCATTGTGGCCCGAGTCAATAAATCGGATGCATGATTCCCCCGGGTTTCTTGACCGGGGCATTGATTTTCTTTTTTTTAAGGACTGAGGTCAATAGGCCGGAGATCTATGGTAGTTAATGAGGAGGAAGCGGTTGCTACTGCCACCACCACCTCTGAGTAGCCTCTGAAGGGTGACATGGACTTTACTGGGTCAGGTGGAACCGTCAGCTCTGTGACCTCATAGAGCAGTCGGATAGAGGGCCCCAGGTCTGTAGCCTGGGCCCAGAACCTGCCCTCAGAAGACGCCATCGTGGCTGAATTTCCGTTTTGATGAAGGGAAGGTTGACACTGAAAGCTGGGGAAGGCTATTGCCAGGGCAGAGCTGGGCAGCAACAAGAATGGAGGGTCCCACCATCTCGCCACCCTCTTTGCTCCAAAGACTCTCTGCTGCCCCAAGCTTCCTGGGCTACTGCCTTCTCAGGCTGCATGTGAATAGATTTTCTAATGCTGAGCTGAAGCTGAGAAGAATTCACTCTTACCGCCTGGTGGCCACGGCTCAGAATTGCAGGCTGAGGACCTGTGGGAAATGGCATCACATTCGTGTGCAACCCTCACCTTCCCACCCTCAACCTGACGGTCTGGACCTCCAGCATAGGGGAGCTGGAGCTAGCAGATGGAACTAGGACTGCTGGTCAGATGACCTTGACCTTGAAATGGAAAGGACATTCTAGATTAGCCCCTGGGCTCAGGCCTATCACAGGGTCATCACAGGTGAGATGTCAGAGTAAGAAACTCCTGGCTGGGGATGTAGGAGGGGCCAGGGGCCAATGATGCAGAGGGGCGGAAAGAAACCAAGAAACAGCCCTCTCCTGAAGTCTTAGCAGAGGACAGTGGCTCTGCCAACACCTCTGTGATTCTCTCCCAGTGAGAGTCGCTTAAACTTCTGCCCTCCAGAACTGCATATTTGGAGGTAGGGAATGCAGCTCAGTTAATAGACTGCGTGCTTGGCATGTATGAAGCCTTGGGTTTTACCCCCAGCGCCCAACAAAATGAGATGTGTACCTTGGGAGGTGTGGAGGCAGGATGATCAGAAGTGAAAGGTCATCCTTGACTACACAGCAAATTGGAGGCTAGCCTGGGCTATAATGAGACCCTATATTAAAAAAAAAAAGAAGAAGAAAGATGATAGATCTTTGAGTTTCTAAACATGTGGTGGTTTGTCATAGCAGCCCTCTGAGAATGACCAGTGAAGGAGAACCTCACATCCTGACACTAACTCTTACAGGGGACAGGATTGGGAGGAAGACCTCCCTTCCTTGAGGCTGTCGGCAGAGCACCTTGCATTTTGAGGTGCTTGGCCACCAGGGCACCTCGGTGCCTTGGTCACTGCGCGGAGGCTGCAAGTTCTGGAGAAGGTGTTGCTGAAGACTCCTTTTGTTTCACCTGGATGTTACCCAAGCATCCCTTGTGCTGGGAGCACTGAAGAAGAGGAAGTATTCATGTCAAAAGCAAACGCTGAAAGTGGCATCAGTCAATATTTGAATGTCATTTCACTGTGTGTGATGAGTGAGCAAAAGGACCTGGGTCTTGGCTCTTTGATCACCTTTCCTTGAGGTGGAGCAGCCTTAGTCACAGAGGAAGACAAAGCAGCCACTCCTGATGAGACCTGATTAACTTAGGGTCAGATGGAAGGGGAGGAGGACCTCCCCTATTAGTGGACTGGGGGAGGGGCATGGGAGGAGAAGAGGGAGGGAGGGGGAAGTGGGAGGGAATGAGGGAGGGGGGATACAGCTGGGATACAAAGTAAATAAATTGTAATAAATAAAGTTTAAAATAAAATAAAAAAAAGTTTAAAAAAGGACCTGGCCTTGGGTGATGGTGGGCAAACTGCTGCCGGGAGTGGACATCAGCCATCTCTGATGCCTCTGAGATGGGGCCGGGAGCACTGTCTGGGAGGCAGGGCTATTCCGGGAGCACTTGATGATGTCTGCGGTTGGTTAGCTCCTTAAGTACCGGTGGTGAGGATCCAGCCCCAGGTGGCTCTAAGCCTGGTGTCTGGGCTGGTGTGGAAGCAGGAGTCACATGGGACCCAGGTCACTTGTGTCTCACTTAGAGGGACAGAAGAAAGGTCCTGCAGCCAGGCTTTCGCCTCTTGTGCATATGCATGTTCACGTGTGAGTACATGAGCATGATACCCCTACCCCAGGAAGCACCCCACTGCATTCACATACACACAGGCACCTCGAACCACTTTTCTAGACCCCCAGGCCCAACATATATGTACCAAGAACTCTTCACACATGTGAAGAGAAATGGAGTAACATCATGTCGCCATGCTGCCTACACACCCTCAAACACCCATTTCCCTCTGTTCCCAGTTCCTGTGACCTTGCGTGTGTGTGTGTGTGTGTGTGTGTGTGCGTGCATGTGTGCGTGTGCATGTGCGTGTGTGTATGTGTGTGTGTGTGTGTGTACCGGTGCGCATGCAACCCCATGCTCACATACTTGCTGCCTTTTCTCTCACACACGCTGGGCCACTCTTACTGCAGCAGATGTGACAAGTAACACTGTCTCGCCAGGGTCTTCCACACTGTCCTGCTCCCTTTTTCGTGAGGGCTCAGTGTGTGACCAAGATCAGGGCTCAGTGTTGGGGATCAGGGATCAGATAGCCTCCTGTCCTTCCTCAGAGAGTCATGCTTCTGGAAGAGCTTGGAGACACAAGGCTTTCCCCCTGCGCTTGGACAGCCCTTGCCTCTGGACCTGGCTGGGGTGGTGAGGGGGCACTCCTGAGAAGAAATCTCCTCCAGAGAGCAACAGATCCTTGAGCCGAACGGCCCTGCTCCAGGGTCTCTCGGCATTTGGCAGCCATGCTGGTATACGTGGCAGACTCATCACACGGGGGAATGGAGACACCTGACAAGGTCATGTTTGCAGGGAAAACACCTGCAACCACAAGCAAACTGGCCGCTCCCTGGGTCCTGCTTCGTGGTCTGCAGGCTGCAGCAGGGGGAGCCTCACAAAACAGCCTGTGTGCTTGCCCTCCAGGCAGAGCGACTCAAGGTCCAGCATCCATCATCAGAACCTCTGAGGTAGGAATGAGCTGGGTGGCTACTTCTCCCTCTGGTCCATGGTGCCATCTTGATGGGCTTCAGTTGGTGCACATTCTTGCAGCTGGTGTTGAGATTACCCTCCCCCCAGAGCTGGGTACACACCTTACCGTTAGGCTGGTCTGGTGTCTGGGCCACTCTCAGGTCATTCCTCACTTGGCTAAATTGACACAGAGATGGGAGCTACCCTAGTAGGATCTAGACAGCTGGACACCAGACTAGTCTGGCACAGTGGGCTGGGCACCTGGCCTCAGGTGACTTGACTGTAGGGTACTAAAGGCTTGGATTCTCTCTGCAGGGCAGGCAATTCTCTTCCACATTCTCACCATGACCTCATCATTCTCTTCTGACACTGCTCCGGTCTTTGCCCCTCTTCCACACCCTCCCATGTCTGCTGTGTATTGCTTCAGAAGAGACCACATTTTCTGGGGGCGGGGGAGGGTAGCTTTGGCTATTTTTTAGACCCTCTCATGGTTTCTTACAGAGCAGGTAGCTCCTAACACAGAAATGCAAAATGGATGTGCTGAGGTTCAGAGCAGGGCTTTGAGCACCGCTCAGTGTGGGTACAGGCTGGGATGAGACACAAGTGTCCAAGGGGGGCATGGAGATTCTGGTCACGCTCTCTGATGCTTGTCCCTTCTCTGGCCCGCAGAGCCTGCTGCAGTGGCCAGGGCAGCCATGGCTGGGGCATGCAGTCTGGGCCTGCCCCTGGTGCTGCTGCTGGCTGTGGCGAGGGCCTCCTCGCCTGGCACCGTAGTCCGACTCAACAAGGCAGCACTGGATTACGGTAAGGGACCGGCCAACTTGCCACCCTGTTTGTAGGTGAGAACCAGGTCTGAATGAACACAAACATCTCAGAGGACCTGTATGTTTTCTGCTTTTGTGGTGTTGGGATGGGACCCAGAGCCTGTTATAACTGTGAGTTCTTGTGAGTTTGGACTGTGAGGGAGATGTGAGTTGGGCCCGGGGAGGGTGTTTGCCGGTGGCATGTGTCCACGTGTCTGAATACGTGTGCACATGTGTGCATCTTAAGTGCACACGTGCACATGGGGTGTGGTGCCTGTGCTCACACATGGATCCAGTCTGTTCCTTGTAGCTTTCCTGATAGGTGCCTTCAAGTCCTGGCCTCTCTCATGGGAAAGGCACAGTGAGGAAACTGAGGTCCACAGGAAGGGACAAAGTCACAAAGGCTCACGTTTCCAGCACAGAAATCTTTATTTCCCACTGGCTGCCTCTCGGGAAACTTTTGGGGTTCCACCCGAGTGGGGTCTGGAGATGACCAGATCCCCAAAGATCAGATCCAACTGGATTAGAGTGTGAGGGACTCCAGCAGGCCAGGGAAGGGACTGTAGCGGCCAGAGCACAAAGCTGTGAGCTAGCAGCTTTTCCCGCGGCATGCGCAGCTCTCTAGGACCTTGAATCCGGGCAGATGGACAGACAAGGAAGGCGGTCAGTGATCCGTGCGAGAGTAGCAGTCATGCACAGCATGAACGGATGCCCGAGACAGGGACCTGAGGATGGCCTCTGGGGGTGTCCGCCCTGCCCTCTGCTTGTTCTGTGCAGGGCTCCTTTGTCCCTGGGCCTCCCTGGCTCATCTGCCCGTGTTTGTTCTTGGTGGGTAGAAACCTGGCAGGAGGCCTATGTAGCCCACAGTGGAGCCCTCCCCCACCTTACCCTGAAGTTCCCCAGGTGCAGGTCCTGTGTCAGGGAGCACTGTGGGTGGAGTCCACGGCCCAGGCGTGAGTCTCAGCTCAGCCACAGGTGGCTAGGCTGGGGTGGACATCAGGAGCATGGAGACCACGACCTTTCTGCGCCTTGCTTGGAGAAACTGAGGCTCAGGTGGGATCAAAGACTTTTCACTCTGCTAGTGAGTCTGAGCCAAATTCAAGCCTCTTGGCTTAATTTCACGCTTCCTTCTAGAGCCATCGTCTCTCCCTTTGGTTCCGCTTCTCTTTATTTAGCTGGGGCCTACCAGTACAGGTCAGCAGGTTCAGAGCCGAGCTCCATTATCCAGACCTGCCTTACTCTCAGCCAGGTGTCCTCACCTCCCTGTAAACTGGGCAGAAGAATAGAAGAAAGTGCTCAAAACCGGCCTGGCACACCTGGAGCACTTTGTGGGGACAGATACCGTTAGTGTAAAGCCCACAGCACCAGTATGAGGAGCATGCGCACACACTGACAACACTTACAATGGCCCCAAGAGATGAGCACTGTACTCAGCGCGCATGCAGACGTGGGGAAAGCATGGCACGGAGCAGCCAGGCAGGCAGTGAACAGCGGAGCTGGGGTCTGCACCCAGCACCTGGGGCACGTGTGATCTGGTGAGGCAGCCCCTCCTCTCTCTCCCAGGGCATGCCTCCTCAGGAGCTAGGATTGGTGGCTGGCTCCTTGAGTGTGGTGACTTGAGAAAGCTCTAGGGACAGCTGGAGCCTTGCAAGAGGGCTAAGGATTTTACTGTATTGGAGGAATGGGATGAAGAAAGGGAGGGAGATGGAGGGCATGATGAACAGGGCATGAAGCACAGGCTTGCACGGTGTAGCCATTCTCCTCTTGTGCCACCTGAAGCTTGTTCCATCTGGTATCTGAGTGCCTCTACCCAAAGGGCAGGAAAAGTGATGGGTGGCGTGTTTGCCATGCTTGGCGGATCCAAGAACTTGACCCATCCTGCCCTGGCCCCACAGTGTCGGACATCGGGAAAGCCCCCCTCCAGCGGGCCTTGCAGGTCACTGTCTCTGATTTCCTGGATCCAAGTGGTGAGGTGCCCCAGTCTACCAGGTGAGTGCTCCCACCCTCCAGAGGGAGAGTGCTCGAATTCTTCTGCTGCTAGCTGGAAGGTTTTGTTGGCCAAGGGAGTGAGTGCTTTGGTTTACGAGGAGAGGGATACTGAATGAGGCCTTCAGGAGTACTCCAGCTGCTGGGTAGATACTGTGCCTAATAGGTGCTCCCATCCGCTGGGCGCAGTGCTCTGGACCATCAGATGAACATATATATGGTGAGTAAGCCTCCCCAGGTTAGAGTCTCCCATCATCAGGTGTGAGGTTATAAGAAGACTTGGCAGATGAGGTCACCTGGTAACCCTGAATTAGTCAATAGGTTTCTGCTCTAGGGATTCAGATTGTGGCCCTGGGTAAGGCTTTCCGCCTCTCCCTCCAAATGCTTGACACCAAATTCAGACACAGGGACAATCCTAGTTTTATCCTCAAAGGATGGAGACATCCCAAACTCAAGCACAGTACCTATCCTTATGGGGATACCATTGGGCTACTGCCAAATGGTTTTGGGTATTTAATATATCTACTTATCAATCAATCTACCTACCTGCCTGCCTACCTACTCACCTATCTATCAGCTTTAATTTTCTTTTCTTGTTCCCTTTTTGTTTAAGACAGGGCCTCGCTACCTAGCTGAGGCTAACCTTAAATTCGAAATCTTTCTGTCCCAGCTTCCTGAGACATGGGGATCAGGGGCCTGAAATACTGCGCCCAGCTTATCACCTATAATTCTGAATGTTGGAAACTAATACAAACACTTTAAAACATCAGAACAGTGCATGGGTCAACAAACAGGCAGCTTGGGGCCACCAGTTTGAGACCCCTAAGGTAGGGCTGGAGGGCCAATTTTAGTACATTAACGGCTATGACCTTAAAGCACTCGATAGAAACCCAACTACCCGGAAGTTGCCAGAAGACTCTTGTCTTCAGCAGCAGGAGCACATCCAGGAAGGCTGTGGCTGAGTTCAGAAGGCTTAACGTTGGCCTGTGTGGGGAAACAGTCATGGGCCCACATCATCCCAGGCTAGAATGAAGCCATATTCTGGATATCTGAATCATTCCAACCTCACCCCTACCAACTGCTGGGCAGGAAAAAAAAATGACTTTAACTTCATCAAAAAGGAAGTCCCAGAGTCTCTCGGAGCATTCTGCAGCTTGGAAGAGAGGGTGTTTATTGTTGCTGAGGGCCAACAGTGATAAGGGGAATCTAAGGTCCAGAATCTAAGGCTAGACTTCTCTGGAGATTTTTGAGTTGCACAGAACCCAGTATGTCTTTCCTCAACTTCACGCTTCCTGGGATATAGTCAGAAAATGTTAGAAGCCCACAGATCATCTCACTAAGTACTGCCTGAGGCCAGGCCTTCCGCTTGCCTTTGTAACAGCTGGGTGTCTTGCTTGTCTCCTGTGCTAGAGCACTTCCCATCTCTCTCATCAATGGTCCACTCATCATAAGCCCTTCTTTATCATATCAGCACGTGGGGTTGGCTCAGGGAAGGCCCCCTGGAGTTGACTCTGTGTTTGATGGGAGTTCCCTTGTCCTTCGGGTTCCAACCCTACAGGGTCCAGATTCTGGATGTCCACCTGCCCCATCTCCACTTGAAGTTCATTGCTGGTTTGGGGGTACGCTTATCTGCAGCATCCAATTTCACAGTCAAAGTGTTTCGGTGAGTGAATCTCTTTGTTGGGGGCAGGAGTTTCAGGATCTCTCTGTGACCGAGTGGAGTTTGGGGGGCTTGGAGGGATGACCCCGGATCGGGGATCTGTGCAGTCTTCATATACCAGGGTGGGCTCAGGTCTGTCCTTCTGCAGCGTCCCAGAGCCCATGGAGCTGGTGCTGCCTGTGACCTTGGTGGCTGATGTGCACGTGGCCCGGGACTCCATTGGGACCCCTGTGCTCAGCATCCCTGCCTGCTCTTCAGTCTTCAGCCCAGCCAGGATGCTGAAGGGACGTAACAGGTGGGTTCCTGGGAACACTGGGCCTCAGGGTTTCCTGACATAAAGGCTGTGGCACTGTTACTTGAATTTCTCACTCAAGTCTTCACCCAATGGCCACAAAGGATCAAGGAGACTCCATCATCACACCTGTTCTATGACTTGGCACGGTGAGGTTCACAGAGGACCAGGGGCTTGCCTGATGCCACACAGCCTGTGTCTTGGTCACTTCCCTGTGTCAGCTACCAGCACATGCTAGCCAGTTCCTAGTCGTCTCCTGGATGATATGAGGCCAGTCAGCCTGGCTGTTGGGGCCCTTACAGGCAACACTTCCCTGCAGAGGTGTAAATTGCAGGTTCAGGAGATGGGGTACGACCAGCTAAGCTCTCTGTGGCAGGTGGCTGTTCAAGTCAGCATGTGAGGCTAACAGCAGCTGCCACTTCAGAAGGGAAACTGAGGTCCAGGGCTAAGCAGATACTCTTCAAAGTGTCACAGGGCACTAAAGTGAGAAGTTGTCCTGGCGTGCCAGCTCCATTCCCAACTCCTACCCATCCAAGTAGCCCTAGACCCAGCTGGCTGAGCACACAGACAGAGGGCTTTTGCAAGGTCTCCCCTTGAGCCTGGTCTTAGTTATCACCTTTTGGCTGCTTTCAAACCTTGAGAGGAAGGATCTCCTTCTCTGAGATTCACGCTTCTCCTCTGTGGGAGTGGGGACCACTGTTCTAACACTGTTTAGAACATGGCATGATCTCAGATGGGTGCCTCTGGACTGCTGGCTGAGGACAGAGACCTCTGCCCCAGCTATCTGTGGGGCTCTGCCAAGAGCTGTGCCCAGGGAACTCTGAGACACTTTCTGTGCCACTTCCTCAGCACCTCCCAGGAGCTGCTGGACCTGGTGCAGGAGCACATGAAAGCTGACCTGAGCAACAAGGTAAGACGGCTTAGCTTGGAAGGCCTGAGACATGAGCGCTGGGGCCTTCAAGCCCTGGGGAGGGGGCATTGTATCTTGATGTGCATGTGTGTGCACGTTCTTCAATGCATGTAAATGTGTATGTCTGTTGTCTGCATGCTTGTACATGTGTGTACATGTATGTGATGGATATATGTATATAATTTCAGGTGCTCTTTCACCCAAACTTTATCTCAGCCAGTAATATATATATATATAAAATTGAAGGCCCTTCGTGGGGTGCTTCCAGTTTCTTCATGAGAACAAGAGAGAATTCATGTCAGTCCCAAGGAGGAGGGGGGATACCCAGGCGTAGGTGAAGTTTAGGGAGCTGGGTAGACAGTGGAAAATCTCTTCAGGGCAGTCCCGACTCCCCATTAGAAGATGGGAGAAATGTTTTGAGAGCAACAAAGTAAGAATGAACAAAGTAAGATAAGTAAGAAGCCTGGCCCTGAGCTAGGTGTGGCTGGGTGCGTCCTGATGCTCCCTTCTCCTCAGGCAGTGGGCAGGCAGCCATGGGTGAGAATTCTAATGTGAGACCTCTCTCACTCCAGAGAATCCAGAATCCAGAACGGGGAACTGCAGAGTTAGTCTGTTGTGATGGTTGAGACTGTGGGTCTGCTCATTGCGTGCGGCTAACTTAGTGAGAGGTGATACCCATGAGCCCTGAGTCCCCCTGCCAGGGAGTAGGCTCTTCTTCCCTAGCCTGCCTCAGCCCATCCATAAGGGCAGCAGCAGAAGTCATATCTACCTAGTGTGTGTCATTTCCACCCCAGAGGTGATGGCAATGCTTGTGGGCTATGAGCACCCTGGTCTTGCAGTCCCCTCCTTGCCCATGTGCCTGAGCCCTTCTCCAGCCTTTGGCAGCTTCTCCTGCCTCCTCGCCACCAAAAGAAGGGTGGAAGCCAGTCATTCCAAGGAGGAAAAGGCAGGCCTGGGAGGCTTCTGGTGGGCTGTGGCAGGGACCTGCAGCTTGGCGGTTCCTTACCCACAGCTAAGAACAGCCCTCACCACAGCATACTCTCTTTTGACACAGTTGTGCTTGCATGTCTCTGGCCTGGTCCAGGACCTCAATGTCCACTTGGGCACCTTAATAGGTAAGACCTGGAGCCCAGGGGGTGGGAGGCCTGGGTCTTTGTGCCCTAAGAACCTTCAAAGACTCCCCTCTCCTCCGCTGAGACCTGGAGATGGTGTGGTCTTCATTGCTGGTTTCTGGTTCTAAATAGTGCTCTCTCTTCAGTTAACCTGAGAAAAAGGAGGCCCATGGTAAGGCCGCTGACTCAGGACTTCCCAAAGCACATGGCTATTCGCAAACTCTGGCAACCTCCAGATTCCAGAACCAACGCTTTGATTCTAGAATCTACCAGTTTTAGCTCGAATTGCCAAAAATCAAAATAAAACCAAATGATTAAACAATGAGTGTCACTATTGAAGAAACTAGGCCTCGTTGACTGTCAGGATCTAGAGCCATTCTGCACTATCAGAGTCGCAGCATTTTAGGGGACAGATCCTCAGAGTTGGGGCTCCTTCCAGAATCATTGCAGTGAGGCTGGTGTGGCGAGGGGTGTGTATGCCACTGGAGGTGCTGGGCCTAAGGCTTGCCTTGGTTGTCATGAGGTGGCTTGTGGGTATGAAGATGTCCGCCTTTCACCTGGATGCTTTGAGGCTGGGTCTATGACCCTATCAAAAAGAACACATATGTGTCCATCCCCCTGGGGACTGTATGATCTGACTTCTGGACCTTGACAGTGATGGAGGGAAGAAGGAAGGGGGGAGGAGGAGGATAAGAGGAGAGAGGAGGAGGAGGAGGAGGAGGAGGAGGAGGAGGAGAAGGAGGAGAAGCAGTAGTTATTGCTGCTGCTGCTGCTGCTGCTGGGTGAGCTGAGCTGTGTGAGCAGCTGGGGCTGGTCTCTCACTGGAGCACTTTTTGAAACTGGATGGAAATGCCTTAGCGTACAAGTTGCTGAGTGCTCATCCATAAACTCCACTGTCACGGGTCACATCCTACTCTTCCTCATTGTCCTCATCCTGACCTGTACTATGGTTTGAGGACATTGGAAGTTATCTGGGTGGCTTCCTAGACATGCCATGGTAGGACCTGAAGGCTAGAGAGCAGGCCTGTCCCATTTTCTTAGTAGTTGAGGTCTAGTAGCAGAAGGCATTACCATGCTGACCCAGGGACATCTTATTTGCTTCAAGTCCTGCACAACCTCTCCCTTCACAGAACCCGCTCAGCCCGAGGCTTGCCAAGGGCTTTATCGCTTTCCTCATCAGCCATTTTGAAGCTTCTCCTGCTTGGAGCCCACCAGCTTTGCCCTGACCCTGGTGTCCTTTCCATAGCACTGTGATTGGCTTTATCAGTATCTGAGATACCACAATGATGCTCAGTTGATACAAGCAGGGAGAGTGTGAGGGTTGAGGGAAGGGTCAGAGGACCCAGAGGCTTGGGTTAGCCCAGGGACACAGGGCAGGGCCTAACTTTGCACACAGTGGGTTCTTTAGTAGATAGGCGCTGCTGTCATTAACCCCATGTTATAACAGGAAAGCTGAGGTTTAGAACTGTGTCCTCTTTAGGGACGGGCCCATTCTGCTTTTCCTCCTCACACGTCCATCCACTACTCTGGCCAGTTTGGAATGATTTTTGTCCTTTTGATTTCACCTCTCCACCCAACCTCCATATTACCTTAAATGGAGGCAGCAAGAAGCTGAGGCAACTGGCCTGGAATTAGAGGGCACAGGATGGGATTTTAGTCACGTTGCTCCCATGCTGTATGACCTTAGGGAAGTCAGTCATCTCTTTGATCCACCGCATTCCATCCAGAAAGTAGGATGAAAATTCCCAGATCTGGAGTGTGTTGTGTTATGAAGCAGCACGGGTTAAGGGCCTGGGGTCTGACAGGCTTGCTAAGCTAGTGTGTGTTCTTCCTCTTCTTCAGGAGGCTTACCTTCAGCAAGGAGTCTTTGTCTGTGTTTATGCCAAAGGCCAGCTCTTGGCTTTTTCTTTGGTGAATTAGAAACATCTAATAAAGGGACTCTTAAGAGGTCAGCCCTGGAGGATGGTCATGTGAGGCACGCACACCCAGAGTGTGCAGTGGAGAACCTGTGATTTCTTTATTTTATTGAAAAGATTTATGTTGTATAGGATTGCATGTATTTATAGAACATAAAGTGATGCCATAATTTATAGATGAAATGTGGAATAGTTAAATCAAGCTCAAGAGCATAGCCATCACCTCAAACATTTAGAGTCCATTAAAAAGCGCAGCTCAGCTGGGTGTGGTGGCGCACACCTTTGATCCCAGCACTCAGGAGGCAGAGGCAGGTGGATCTCTGTGTGTTCAAGGCCAGCCTGGTCTACAGAGCTAGTTCCAGGACACCCAGAGCTACACAAAGAAGCCCTGTCTAGAAAAAACAAAAAAACAACAAAAATTACAGCTCAAAGGGGTGTGTCAACAAGGCACATATCTCCAGAAGGCTGTGTAACAAAAATGTCTTTTACTGTGGTGTAAGAAAATACTGTAAAATAAGTACACCTGGGATCCTGGGCTGTATTTTCCATCTCTTTTCTATTTCCTAAATATTCACTATGACCTTAATGTTTCATTCATTTTTAATTTAATTCATGTAGCAATTTGGCCTTTGTGGTGTCTAGTTTTCTGAGCGTTGACAAATGCAGAGAGAGGGGACTCAAGAGACAGGGCAGTCTACCAGTCTTCAAATCCCTTGCTGCTCCTTCTTCCTGCCTCCAAACTGTGAGACCCACTGACAGACAAGGAAGGGACCCACACCTTGTTGCTTTCACAGTAAGAAAATCTTTAAAATATTAAGGAAGATGAAATTAAATCCAGATGAGATGATAGAAAAGCAGAAAGCTGAAGGGCTATATATATAAATATGTATGTATTTACCAATATGTCTTTATGTTTTAATTCATAATTATTTTAATATAAAATATTAAATATAGTTATATGTCTAAATATGACAAAACTATACAAAGCACATAATCTATACCCATAATTTATATTTTATACCGGGCATATAAATATATATGAATAGATATGCAAAATATACATGTATATCCATACCCAGAACACTGAAAACCTTGGCCATTGGGGCCAGAGGGGTGGCGCAGCGATTTGGAGAGCTGGCTTCTCTTCTAGAGGACCTGGGTTCGAGTCCCACCACCCACATGGCACACACATGTACAACTGTTACTCCACCCTTTTCTGGCCTCCGAAGGCACAAGGCACACATGTGGCACACAGACATACAAGCAGGCAAAACTTGGGCCTGTATTGAGCCTTCTCCTTCTGTAATTTGGGCTCAGTCATCTTTCAATGACCGGGAATATTAGCAAACATACCTGTCAGCATTGTGTCTGAACCAATCAACAGACAGATTCTGGTATACACCTTCCTGGAGGCCTCGCTGGGCATGTGACTTTGTGACTCTGATTCTGGCCGAGAAAGGTCACCAGTAACTTCGTTTGCTGGCTTAGTGATGGGCTGGTGCTCAGTGTTTTTCTGTTTTCATGAAGGACTGAGTCCTGTGGGGCCCGAGTCTCAGATCCGCTACTCCATGGCCAGCGAGCCCACCATCACCACTAACTACATATCCCTGGATGTCAGAGTAAGTACCGCCTGGTCAGCCTGGTACTGGCATCCTTGGTGTCCTGGAAGGGGCCTGTGAGGGTAGCAAGTGAAGGGAAGAAGGAGGCTGGTTCTCCAGGTGGGAATGCAGCCCAAGTCTTCACTGTTAGGCTGGTGCTTGGGAGAGCCTTGGCTCTGTTACAGGCTCTCCATTCCTGGTGTCCTGCATGTGTGCCTCTGCTTCCATCTAGGCTATGCTCTTCCTGCTTGGCAAACCCATCCTCCTGCCTCTGCACGGTGCTTATCCCTTTGTGTTGCCATGGCCGTCGGGTAACGAAGGAGCCATGGCAACCGTGGGGCTCTCCCAGCACCTGTTCGACTGTGTCCTCCTGTTGCTGCAGAAAGCCGGCTCTCTCAACCTGGACATCACGGGGCAGCTGGTGAGGGCTGGGTCTGCTGCCCAGGGCCTGTGGCAGAGAGCCCTTTCGGCCTATTCTGGGGACATCCTGTAGATTTGGAATTGTGGGCAGTGGGCAGTGGACAGCTAGAATGGGAGCTACAGGATGACTACTTGAAATGGTGGCCTTGACTGTGAAACTGTCTTAAACCCTGCCATGATGGGGGCTGATTTCAGAATTCAAAGAACAACCCTCTGAACACGTCCACGCTGGGCCAGCTGATCCCTGAGGTGGGTGACACTTCTGCTCATTGCAGGCTGGAGGCTCAGGGTCTGGGTGGGGCTTCCATGGATTCCATCTACCCAAAGCGGGATGGAGGGCGTGTGTCACCACCTACCCTTTAACCCTCTCTCCTGAGCTTAGGGGCTGCCCATCCTAGTCAGCTAGACACTCTTCTCTCTGCCTCTGCCTGCAGTGAGTCTACTGGGCTCTCTCTCTCTTTTCTGTTCTCTCCCTGCCTGTAAGATCTAGCTCAGAGTCAGCGGCACACACCTGTAATCCCAGCACCTGGGAGGCAGGAAGATCACCAGCTCAAACCTGGGTGTATCGCAAAGTCAAAACAAAACACCAGCTCAGGAATCCCCTCTGAGGAGCTCAAGTCTGTCCCAGAGGCCTGGGCCAGTCCCACCTCTGACCTCAGTCGTGTATAGTGATGGCATATCAACATCCAGCACAGAAGACTGACAAGCAGGAGCCTGAACAACCCTCTCCCTGTCTCATGCCCCAGGTGGCCCACCAATTCCCTGAGCCCAGGCCCGTGGTACTCAAGGTGCAGCTGGGCGCCACACCCATGGCCACGCTCCACACCAACAACTCCACTCTGAAGCTGCAGCCCTTTGTGGAGGTCTTTGCTGCTTCCCCCAACTCAGCCTTGCATTTCCTCTTCTCCCTGGATGCGGTGAGTGACAGGCCAGGTGGGGCTGGTTGTGTTAGGGTGACACTCCCCGAGACCTTACATGCTTCTGTGCTCTCCTCACTTGCTTTGTCTTATCCACCTATCTCCTGAGCTTGCCAGGACATTCTGCCTCAGGACCTTGGCACATCGTGGAACCCTCTGCCGAGGGCCCTCTTCCTTTGCTTTTGGCATGGCTGCTGCGCCTTCATTTTCAGTTCTTAGCTTAAGTGTCGAAGCCTTGCTCAGAGCAGCCTTCCTGGGCCACCCTGTGAAAGAAGGTCTCCGTCACTCTCTGCTTTATGGCAGCCTCTGCTTTCTGGAAACCTCCCTTCTCTGACTCGTTGCTTCTGGAAGGTTCCCAGGGAAGGGACCCCACCTGTCTTCTTTGTACTGTTGTTGCTTGTAAAATGCAGGTAACAACCTGACTCTTAGAGAGCTCCGCAAATACTCATGGTCTATCCTGGCGGGGGGAGGGGTGGAAGGCTCTGCAAAGCTCCTTCTGACTTGCTCTCTTCACATGCCCAGATAGTGAACCTGAGCCTTCAGCTCTCCGTGTCTAAGGCGAAGCTTCGGGGGACCACATCTGTATTGGGGTAAGTGGGCCTTCTGACCTAGCGGCCTCAGCATGTTCTCAGACTTAGTGATTAGAGAGCCTCAGGGGAAGCTGGCCCACCCTGAGCCTGTGCCTGCTTTTCTTTCAGGGAGGTCCAGCTCTCTGTGGCCACCTCCAACGTGGGCTCCATTGATGTGAGTGGCTCACTGGGCTGCCTTAAGCCTTGGGAAGGGATGTGCAAGTATGAGAATGATACATACCTCCGTGCTGCTGTAACTGGGTCTCCCGGGGATATCTGGGGACAGGGAACCTACCCTGCTCTTTGCCTGTCTCTCTGCTTGTGGGCAGGTGATTGATTCATCACCACAGGCCTCAGCCAGAGCTCATTGGTCAGTGGGACTGCTAGCACTGGCTAGTCCTTCATCGGGTCACATGGTCAGGCTCCTGCCACCATGCATACGCTCTTTTGTCCCCCTGCATCCATGGGATGTGACTTAGTATACGTAAACCCTCCACCCAGCTGCCAGCACGCCAGCCTAACTTCCGTCTCTCGTCAGGCAGTCTGTTGGGCAGCCTTCGCATTGGTAACTCTGGTATGAGGGCTAGAGCTCTCCCTGGCTGTCTGACCCCCCCCCCCCCCGAGGCCGAGCTAGCTGGGGATTCGATTGGGACCCAGCTGAGCTGGGAGATCTATCCTTCCTCTTTTTCCTGTGCCCCTGTTGTCTGTCCATCTGTGTGTTGAACTACCTTCTCTTGGTCTTTTCTTCCCGACTCCTGGCCATGGCTGCAGATGGATCAAGCGTACACACTCATAAGCACTGTGTTTCAGAAGCCCCTGCTGGAGCACCTCAATGGTGAGTCCTGCCCTCCACAGCATGGCCCCTCTGGTACTTTCTTGAGCCCACAGCCTCTGTGCCTGTCCATGTCCCCAAGCCCTTCCAGGCTCAAAGGTTAAGGTGGTGGTGTAAGAGCTGCACCTGCCCATTTGTGTAGCCAATATATGGTCTTCACGAAGCTCCTATCCTGTCTCTGTTTCCCCTCCACACTATTAGGATGATCCTGCCTCCCACTCTCGGTCCCACAGTGGTGTTCCCGAGCTGCCAGCACAGGGCTGGCTGCAGGTGGGACTTCCCCTTCGGACTAACTTGGACACTTCTCTTTCACTGCAGCTCTGCTGGGCATGGGGATTGCCCTCCCCAGCGTGCTCAATCTCCATTATGTCCGCTCTGAGGTCTCAGTCCTCGAGGTGAGAGCCTTTGAGTGGCCAGGGAGCTTCCTTACAGGGGTGGAAGGGTCACCCCTCTCGGAGCTCACCCTGTGTGTTCCAAGATCACGCAGTAGACCGTAACTGTAGTGAGGCGGATGAGTTAGGACCTGAGAGACCCTGGTGGGAGGGGCTCTCCCTTCCTCATCACACCCCATGCCAGAGACTTCAGGTCTTCAACTGCTCCATGATCCTGTGTCCTGAGATGGGCATGGCCCCTTGGTGACTAAGGTGAATGGTAGAGAGGTTCCTTACAGCCTGTCAGGCAGCTCTGTGCCTGAATGGGTGAACTTGGCAACTTCCTGAACCTTCTGTGATTATTGTCCCTGGATCTGAAATCGTAGGCTCTGGATGAAATTCATCCCGACACAGCCAGGATGACACTCTGTGATCTCTTTCTATCCAACCAAAGTACTCGGGTCAAATTCCCTCAACAGGCTGAGCACAGGACAGGAAATGGGACCAAGGAGGGGCCTGTCAGTGTCTGTCCAGGGAGGATGCCCACCTTGGATCTTTAAGAATGGTGGCCTCAATGTTCCAATGGTCCACTCTCATGAAGAAGAACAATCTAGGGGCCGGGGAGATGGCTCAGTAGATAAGTCCTTGGTGTGCAAGTAGGAAGACTCTGGTTTAGAGTCCTAGAATCCTAGTCTCCTCACTGATGGGGTGTGGTGGCTCACCTGAAAACCCAGTGCCCAGAAGACAGAGTTCTCAACCCAGGAGACCTCTAGGGTGAGCTGGATAGACTCAGATGTGAGCCATTGAGGAAGAGACCAGATGTCAGCTTCTGGACTCCACACATGTGACTGTGACTGTATGCAGTGTATGTACACCACACGCACATAGACATGCAAAAAAAAAAAAAGGTGGGGGAGGGGGATAAAGGACAGTCAAAACGCAGAGGTTTCAGGACTGTCGGTGGGAATTTCCGCAAAGCACATTCCATGACTGAGCTCAGGATGGGGGAATTTTCTGCAGAGGCTGGAATCAGCATCGTCCAGAGCTGTCACTTGGTACATGGGGCTGTTGAAATGGGATTCTGAAAGTGAAGACTTGAACTTTAATTTTTTAAAAACTTATCTGGCTCTGGTGCTACATGCCTGCAGTTCTAGAACTTGGGAGATCTGAAATTCAACGTCACCCTGGGCTACATAAAGAGTTTGAGGCTAGTCTGAGGCCTCTTTTCCCCCTCTCCTAATTAAAAAGGAATTAATTGTGTGAGCCCCATGAGGCTAATGGTTGACAGACTGGACCACCAACCCTTGACTCTAAGCTACCTACAAACATGGACTGTGTCTCATTTGTCCTTTGCCGACTCCTGGGCATCTACCGCAGGGTTTGCCGTGTGGCAGAGGAGTAGCTAAGTGAGTGAACACATGGTTGAGTGGATAGATGGATGATGCATGGATGGTGAGTGGCCCTTAGGAGTGTCATCTCAGCAGCGCAGTGTGAATGGCAGGGGAGGCACAGTGAATGCCCAGCTCTGTTAGGAAGAAGGAACCCAGTGACCCTGCACTTCTGGTCAGGAAACAGCAACGACCTGGGACAAGCCTAGAGCATAGAGCATGTGCCAGTCTGATGCTGGCCTGACTCTTGTGGGCTCTTACTGCATTCCTCCATAGCCTTATGATGTGAGCGCTGCTACTTAAGTGACAGAGTAGGAGACTGAGGGCCAGTGAAGAGGTGGTTTCCCCTGATGAGAACACTACCCACAAACAGGTAGAGGGGGTAGTCAGAGGTCCCCCTTAAGCCTCTGAGTTAGCTTATGCTTTTCTTGGTCTCCCAGGGCTACGTTGTGATATCCAGTGGACTTGCCTACCAGCGCTGAGCCAGGACCTCGGAGAACCAGTTACTCAAGAGCTTTCTTTCCCCAAGCCTGGGGACACTGAGGCAGAGCCGTGAAGAGTCATCATCAGCAAGCCAGACTGCCTGTCTGGGCTGCTTAATCTTTGCTGGACACCTGGGTCCCTCTCTTGCTTCCTCCCTTCTTCTTATGCCCCTCCTGGGGAGGAGGCCACTGGCTGCAAGCTGTGCAGACCCGCCCCCCTCCGGCCCCAGCATTAAATGTCTTCTCTTGAGCTGTAACTCCCACCTGGCTCTGTGTACTGAGGCCAGCTCTCTGTGTGCAGCCTGTGCGTGGGTCCTGGCTATCTTCAGAGTCACCCAAGCTACCCCAGAGAGCAGGAAGATGGGAGCCTATCTCTGCTGACCGCTGCCTGTCAACTCTCACCTCCTTGTCCAGGAAGCTCCTATTCTGAAAGAGGACCCCAGAGAGTGACAAGGATGAGCTTGTCTTACGAAGGTTATGAGCAGTACATGACTGTTCAGGCACTGTGCCCTCTGTCTGGTGGCATTCCCTGCCTTGTTATTAGAGGCACAGGTGACTCCTGTGGGGCAGGCAGGCAGGTGGGTAGGTGGACGAGTGAGAAGGCAGGCTCTGGGTTCCTTCTGATGAATGCAGACACTAATGTCTATCAGGGAGGGGACATCCAGAGCCCTAGGACTGGATATCCCCAGACCATGATCTCCCTAGCATCTGAAGAACATTTCCAGCTCCCCCTCCATTTACCAGCATTCTCTATGCCTCTTTCCAAAATTTCAGGTGACAAGTTCATGATCTTTTTAAGGTACCCCTTTCCATCATTGACTTTCTTGTCTCAAGCAAGCTTTTTGTTCTAGGAAGCAAGACCTGCTTCTGGGCTCTGCTCTCAGGCACATGTCTAACTCTTGTTCACAGGAGAGCTTCTGAGACCCAGGGGTAACGCACTGCAGTATAGTGTGGGCAGAGCAAGGGGCTCAAGTTCCTGAGAGCCAAGGGCTCGTGATCTTCTCCCTGGATAGGCTAATCTCTAAGTCACCATTCCCTCCTGGATGAATACAGGGCTCATGTTGTGTGTGTTTTCTCAGGGCAGGTAGAAGGTGCTTGTATTTTCAGCATCAGCCAGCACAGCGTTGGGACAGGATGGTGTCACCCCACCCCGCCACCTCTTGCAAGGTTATCTGCAGGCTCAAGAGTGGCAGGGAGTGACCAGACTCAGCTCCCTGGTGATGAGAGGAAGTCTGGGCAGTGTGAAAGAGTGAAAAGCTGGGGCTACAGAATCCTTCCTTCTGATTTTACTTAGGGCAGCATGCCTTTTAATTGGGGGGGGTTGCTCAGTTAATTAATTTATCAATTCTATGCTTACTGAGTAGGCTACACCCTAAGCTAGGTGGTTGAGCATTTAAAGAGACAAGAATCCAAGAAACAACCTGTGTTAGTGGCTTTTCTCTTCCGTTTGAGGAAAGATGTAGCAAAAGCAACTGTGGGAAGAGGGTTTGATTCTGCTTCACGTTTCAAGGGGCTTTGCCCATCTTGGCAGGGATGACATAGTGATGAAAGCAGTTCCTGTTGTGCTAGAAGCTTGGAGCTGTCATTTTACTTTTCAGCATGGTGGATGATAGGAAACAGAGAGCAGGAATGGAGGGCAGGCATTACCTTCAAGGCATGCTCCTAGTGGCCCAGGCTTTATGACCCAAAGGTTCCATACCCTTTCTAACAGCACCAGGTAGGGACAAGTGTTCAAACTCATGAGCCTTTGGGATTTGAGAGTAGGGAACATTTAGAAAGTTCACATTTAGGTCATAACATAGCCCAAGCCCATAAGGAAGTTGATGACATAGAGAAAGCTCGTGACCTCAGTGTGTAGGATCCATCCAACTGCTCATCAGTTCCATTCCTTTCATTTCTTCATCATTTTGTCTATACACCAACCCACATATATTTTTGTCATTTTAAGACAGGGTGTTACGATAATATTTAGTCAAGGTTGGCACTGAATTTATGAGCTTCCCTCCTCCCTTTCTTTCCCTTCCCAAGTGTTGGCATTATAGGTGTGTGCAACCTTGCCCATCCCAAGCTACCTTTTAATACAACTATCCATCCATCTATCCATACTTGCATTCATTTATCCATTCATCCAGCCATCCATTCTCCATCCATCATCTACCTCTTCACCCATACATCTACTCAGCCATCCACTCTTCTATCTGTCCATCCACCCATCCACCCATCCATCCATCCATTCACCCATCCACCCACCCATCCATCCATTCATCCATCCATCCATCCATCCATCCATCCATCCATCCATCCATCCATCCATCCATC